CCTTTGATGATTATTAACTTCATTACATTCTTTGGCTGTTCCAGCAGCACAAAATCTGTGACAAATTGTTCATAATTTCTTTAAATCCCCTAAAACGCCCGAAAGCCCTGCTAAGCCAAAAGTATTTTATTAGCCCGAAAACATTATTGAAAGGCGATTGAAAGTGACGTGACATAACGATTTCTATGGAAGGCACATGAAAATCTACAAATAAGGGCAATTGGGATTTTTTTTTAATGTAAAACAATTTAATTTGGATTTGAAAGTCTCAAAATGGTAGTCTAAGATAATTTTATGGACTACTTTTTTAAATTAACAAACATTTAGTGTTTTGTATTTACAAGTTAAGATCAGTAGCATTTCATAGGTTTTCTATGGAATTTTTAAGAAAGTTTATTGATCTCTAAACGATAAAATTTGTTATATATATTCAAATGTTTTAAAATTAGAAATTAATATTTATGTCAAAAATTATTTACTTCAAATACAAAAATTCCCCTTAAGTTAGTAAATCCCATTTGACATAAAAAAAAATCATAAATTACATTTGAAATTTAAAATTTCATCGTTTTGCTTCTGTTTTCAATGATAACATGTAATTTTTATTCTGGAAAACATTGTTTTTAAAGAATAACTTTTATATTTCTAGAAATTGTTCATCATTTTTATTGAAATGATGAACAATTAAAAAGTAGAGGTCGGATTTGTTCTATTCATCACATTTTATAAAAGTGTAGAATATTGAATTGAATTTCAAAGAAAATTTCTAAATTTCAATAGACAAATTCTTCAGATAAAATGGTCTTCCGAATTTTAAATAAAATTTCTAAATTTAATTAAATGTAATCCACGTTCAAAGTGGTTTTTATGAGGTTTTGAATTTAAAAAAATATCTGTAATAAAAGTTCAAGGTTCACTTCACCAGATGGAGGAAACTATATAGATAGGAATCATTATATAGAAAGATATAAGTGTAAACCAATAATTTTAGAGCACTTTTGGATGATATCCTCATGTCCAATTTGCTAAGCATAATTTTTCACAGGAGTCTAACCTCTATTTTTTATACGTGCGCAATGGGAAAACGTGGACCTAAATATTCAATGTTCTATCACCGGAGCTAGAACCTATTACTAACTACAAATATAAATTTTTGAACAAATACGAGGAGATATGTGGCAAAAATGGGCTATATAAAACGTGGACCTATAAATACAATGTTCCGTCATCGGAGCTGGGACCCTTTCGTCCGTCGAAAAATGTGGCAAAAATCATCAAAATATCGAATTTCAGTAGGTACCGTTATAATGGGGCTATACGATAACGTAGACCTATACATACAGTGTTTCGCCACACGAAACGAGAACCCATTATGACCTACAAAGACCATTTTTTAGACAAATCCGGGAAAAAATGTGGCACAAATCATTAAAATACCGAATAACGGGAGGTACCATTATATGGGGGCTATACCAAAACGTGGACCGATACATCTCATTTTCAATACCAACCATCCTAGACACAATACAATTGTTCTGTTAAATTTTGAGGCTCTACGTCAAATAATGTGGGCTGTATCGTGATTTTAACCAACAGACAGACGGGCAGCAGACAGACATCGGTAAATCGACTTAGAATTTCATGCTGATTATAAATATTTGGGGATGTTTCAAATGGAATACATAAACAATTTCCTGTCGTACATATTGCGAATTTCAAATACGAAATTTGAAACAATTCCGAAGAATAATGTAGCTTAAATCAGCAAAATACCGGATTTGGTGGGGGGTACCGTGGTACCGTTATATGGGGACTATGGAAAACACGCGGACCTGCATAGCTAATTTTCCGTCACAGACTGTTGTACCCATTACGAACTTCAAATACGAAATTTGAAACAGATCCATGTTGCTAAAATCACAAAAAATACCGGATGTTGGGAGGTACCTTTATATGGGGGCTATTCGAAGTACCTATTAGGAACTTCAAATACGAAATTTGAAACAATTCCGGTAAATAATGTCCCAAAATCATCAAAATACCGAATGTAGGGAGGTACAATTATACGAGATACCAAAGTCCAGACGAAACACACATTTAAGTAAAATGTTATCAACCTACTTCAATTCGTTCGGAAGCTAGAATGATTTCCACAGACGGACCTACAGACATACTGACGGTCATTGTTAAATCGACATCGGATTTTATACTGATCAAAAATATACATACTTTGTAGGGCCTAAAATGTATATTTCACGGTGTTACAAATCGGAATAACAAACTTATTATACCCTCTATACTATGGTGGAGGGTATAACAACAAAACAGCAAAAACAAAATAGTTACAGGTTAATCGCTTTTCGTTTAAACTTTTGACTTCAATAATCCTCGTTTTATGATCTGCAATTTAGCGTAAACTATATATACCTGTAATGAACGAATTCCAAAGACTTTTAATCCGATTTTTTTAAATGTGGAAGAGTGGTATCTTGCTCCCTTTCCGATGTAAACTTTGAAAGGCTGATACATGTGTCATCTATTTTTAGCTCTACTTTCATAATCTGCTAGATTTTCCTTGTAATGATTGAACAAATTGAACTTCGTCGCATAGTGTGAAAACTCGGCGACGACGAAAATTGGGGTTTCCGTCAAGAAAAAATTAATTCTGAACTCTCCTGGGGCGCACCAGAAGGTGTCTGCCTATCTTGTCATATTTGGACTACAGTATTATTATGATACCTACGATATAGGATTTTTGAAAAACTGGGCTTTAGTGAGCGAAATACCCTTTGGAGATGTGCTTTTGATGTTCGATAGAAATATTGCGGTGTGCAAAGTTTGGATCAAATTTGATAATCCCCTCAAATGTTATAGTGCACACCAGCCAAAGAAACAAACAAACATGTATGACATAACGATTTCATCCAAAAATATACAGGGTGAGATGAAAAAACTGCAACCAACTTCAGACTGCTGTCATTTCTAAGCCACTTCTCCGACAGCTCTTAAAATTATTCCTTATTATATTGTTCACAAGCGCACAAGAACATTTTGGTGAAAATTTTCCAGAAAAAAATGTTATTTGTGATTGAATTCAAGCGTGATAGTGTGATTTCTTTATATTTGGCTGGACAACCACAAGTGGCTATCGTTAGAGCACTCCAGCACTTAAATGTGAATAAAACTTTTGTGTCTCGTTCCATCGCTCTTGGCCGTGATACTGGTAGCGTAGCCCTACTTGAAGTAAGTAGACGGAAGAAAACAGAAGATCAGCAGAAATGGTTCGAAAATTAAAGAAGCGACTTGATCGAAATCCGCGTCGCAGTGGCCGAAAAATGGCTCGAGAGCTGAACATATCGCAATATTCCATTTGGCAAATATTGATAAATGAGCTCGGGGTAAAGCCATTGAAATTCCGCAAAGTGCAAGAACTTACACCGCAACAGAAAGAAAATAGACTCACAAAAGCTAAAGAGTTGCTGCGCCTGGTCGAAAGTGGTGAACTGCCGAATTGGTTTTCTCTGATGAAAAAACAACACCTTCGGTTGGCCACCAGAACTCAAGCGCCGGTCATGGTGATGGTGAGGGACGCCATAACAGCCGATGGTCGCTCTCTCTGCTCGTATTAATCGACTGTGGCATCAGAATAAATGCCGAATATTATCGCAAAAATATTCTGGTGGGTATATTAAAGCCTTAGGCCCGCAAACATTTTGGCCGCACGCCTTGGACATTCCAACAGGACTCAGCACGCGCCACACAAGAATGGTCACAAAATGAGGTTCTTCGCTTCATTTCCAGCGCACAATGGCCACCAAAATCTGCGAATACCAATCCGTTGGACTATTGTGTCTGGAGTATTTTGGAAAGCAAGGTTGGTAGTAAAGAATATCAAATTGGCAAGCGCTTCGCCTGGAAGGGACCAAAACACCGCAGAACAACATTCGAACAGCCTATGACGGTTTCATTGGCCGTTTGAAGGCCATAATTCGTGCCAAAGGTAACCAATTCGAACAAATCTAAACTTATTCTAAAATTTGATGCTATTTCCGACATTTCTTTCCTTTCATTCAATAAAATTTAAAACAAAAATTTAAAAATTATTTGATTTTGTTGCAGTTTTTTATCTCACCCTGTAATGACCAGTTTATAAAAATTATAAAACTTGACTAACCGTTTATAATTTTAATTGATTTGTCCTCTTGAGCTGTCATATCAAAAATCACAACATTGTTCCTGTAATTAATATTATGTGTAAGTGTATAAATCATGCAACTACTTCTCAAATACATACCTTATTTTTTATTTTCTAAGAAATAAAGAGATATCTTCCAAGGAAAAATGTCGGCTTTAAACTGTAGAGGTATATAAAACATGGACACATTTTGAAAAGTTGTGTTATGAGATTTTCTATTTACCCAGAAACCCTTGTAAGTTTTAACCCTAAAAATGACAACACCGTCCAGTAGATGAGTTTCATAAAACACCGTCCAGTAGATGAGTTTAATTTGTAGCTAAATCAGATACCCTAGGAGGCTTTGGATCAGGTCCAAACATTGTTTTTAACTTCCGCCATGTTAAATTTAGGTAAAGGCTTTACTTCGATTAAAAATGAAACGTTTACATATAACAATTTTTTCAAGAAAAATTTCTACCCTTGACATAAAACCCTAATCTTAAACCCGTTACGTATACTATCCTATATCATTGTTTAAAATTTAAAAGTACGGTAAACCTTTAAAAGTACCTAAGCTCTTTCAAAATCGCTCTATTGATATACTGATGTACATAGAAATATGGCGCCCAACGCAAAATTCTTTAGTAATCCATTATAAAAGACTTTTTAACCCTTGAGGATTTCAGAAAATAATTTTTCTCCCATGCTATCTGTAGAAGGCAGATTAGCATCCCCACAAATATTATTTTTGATCCCCTGTTCTTTTATAAAAAATAAGTAAATTGAAGATTTTTTTTTCATTTTCAGTAAAAAGGCATCTCACTGCAATTTAGTTTTATTAAAACTAAAATTCTTTGTTTTCTATTTCTTTAAGGTACAAATAGCACGTAATTCTCACTGTAGATGCTCTAGCCAGGGACAACTAAATTATTGGATAATTTAGAGGGCAATAGCACCAACGGCGGTTTCATCACGGAATTTGAGTTTGCCATAGGAGTCCTTATAGAAACCTAAAAGACAAAGGAAAAAACAAGTGATTAATAAAAAATCATTCAAAGGATCAAAAAATGTAGTTAAACATATGCCATTGCTAAGACAAAATACTAACCAGCATCGATTGTTCCAACAAAACTACGCTTGGGAGCCAAGGCCGAGTACAAGGGAGTCAAATGGCCATAGTTACGAACCAATAGAGGCACACCAATTTGATAACCATAACGGTGGACGGCAGCCAAATTCACATCTTCCAATTTGGCGGCGGAGGCTTTGGCGGCAGCAACATCGGTATAAGCCGAGGCGGCGGCTTCAGCATTTTCGGGCGAGTAAACGGGATCGGCATAAGAACGGCCATAGGCTGGAGCAGCCTCGACATAGGCGGGGGCAGCAGCCGAATATGAAGGAGCTGCTCCATAATTGGCCAAAGCACAACCGCACAAACCGAAAATGGCAACGACGGCCAAAGCGATATTCTGTGTGAATTTCATATTGGATCTCTCCTCTAGTCTTTCTTCAGGAAACTAAAGTGTGAAACTAATGTTGACCCAATGCCATAAAAACATTTTTATAGTCAACGAATAAAATGCTCGTCTCCCAGATCTCTTTACCCAGGTTACGTGACAAATTCTTCAAACGCCACAGAACTGTGTGCGAACACATCCAGCGAGAACGGTGTGATGCGGGAGGAGGTTCCATCGAAATCCGCAGTGTCTTTTGTGTTCTTTCATTTCAGTGCGAGCTGTGTTGTTTTTTGTCTTCTATTACGCTATTCCAACCCGAAACCAAGCCATCATCTCCCTCAGAACCCAATTAAAACCGAAAACAACATGACTAACTGACTGACTGGCTATTTGGTTGTTTGGCTGACTAACTGGTTGGATGGTCGGTTGACTGGTCGGTTAGTTGGCTGATTGATTGGTAAAACTACGACGTATGCAGTCTCTTTTGGTTTGGGTTTTTTGGTTTTTACGCGCTGCCTGCATGGGTTTTATTGGCTTTTGTTGCCTCAGGTCTGGTTTCTACTTCGAGCGCGATAGAATTTCCTACAGTTTCATGTATTCAGTTCCGCCGATAAGAAGGAAGTCAATTAAAACAAACGACGAATGCGATGAGAACGACAATATGTCAGTGTGTCAATACGAAAGGTTGTTTTACTTGGAATTGTGAGTGTTTTCTTGTCTCTTCGTTTGTTTGTTTTTTTCTGGTAAAAGTTGAGGTATTTGATAAACTCATAAAGAAAGTTCATGTACATGCGATGCGATATTACATTTCTAAATTTTAATTTTCTTTGCACGTTGTCGAAAAAGAAGTTCGGGCATATGAATAACAACGATACATTTTAGCCACAAACTTGAATTGAACAACTTAGAAAGCATGAGTCGGTTTAATGACAGAAATATACTCTTTAGTGTCCAGCCGCTCAGACGATACAACCAATATAACACCAAAGAAGGCTTCATCAATTTCAGATTTCAAAATATGATATGATTTTTATATATTTTTTTTTTAAATTATGACGGTTTTGTCCTTCATAATATATTTCTCATTGAAAATAATTTCCATTTGGACGTTACATAAATCTGATGAAAAATATCATTATTTTCAAATTTCGGATCAACACCGATACTTACTTCGCCTTATGTGAGATTTAGGGTTGACTGTTTATGATGGAGGCTCCAGAAGGAAATTCCTGCTATCATTCAACATTTAATTTCAGTACACTTTGTGTGTTTGGGGGGAAGGGTTGTTACAAGAAAGAGTTGGCCTATACGCATATTCTAATTAATAACAAGTATGTGAAGTTTCAGCCAAATCCGACTCGAACTTCGCTTTCTACTAAAGATATGATTTTTATACATTCATCTCCTACCCAGCAAAATCGGGTTTTACCATATTCAGTTTGGAACCAGTAACTACGCACACAAAAACATATTAAAGAAGCACAACAAAATTATGTATTTTTGTGGACAAAATGCAGGTCGTATTTATTATCCGATTGAGATGAAATTTTCCAAACAATATTTGTTTAACCCAAAAATACCTCTGTAAAATTTCTTTTTTTTTTTTAGATCGGCTTAGATTTAGATATCATATATATTTTCAATCGATTTCGGGTCAATTGTGCAGCTAATGGCCAATATCAGTCCAAACAACCTAAATTTTCACATCCGACCGAATTTAGCCTAGAAACAAGTATTTCAAATTAGGTTCAGATATAGCTATAGCTCCCATATATATCTTCAAATGATTTGGGGGTTTAAGTCCCTCACTTGCGCAATATACATACCACAAGTATGATATTTGGTACCAGATAACTTAAGAAGCTCAAAAATACCTCTGTCAAATGTTATCGAGATCAGATCAGATTTGGATATATATACACATATATCTTTATCCGATATCATGTTTATTGTGCAATAAATGGTTAATATCGCCCAAATTACCTGAATTTTCACATATCCGACCAAATTCAGCCTAGAAACCAGTATTTCATATTTGGAGAAATTCGGATCAGATATAGCTACAACTCCCTTATATACATTTCATCCGATTTGGTGTTAAAGTCCCTCACATGCATAATATACACTCCACAACATGATATTTTATAGCGGACATCAGATACTTCTAGAAAATACCTCTGCCAAATTGCTTCAATAAATATTTGTTAACATAATCCCTATCGAAGTCGAAGTAATCATGTACTATACAGCCATGTTATTGGGTTTATAGTTGGTATGATCTACTTCACATAAATTCCCAATATAAACTGCCTTGTTATGTGAGCTCTACTAAATACGCGATTTTTGGGTATATAGTGTATTCAGCAATGGAACGATTATTTTCATTAAATGGGGATTAACCTTTATACAGGGGCTATTAAAAACAATGGACCGATATAACCCATTTTTTAAGTTAATAACCCTGAAATTAATCCAAAGCTTTCTATAAATGGTCAAAGCTCTATTTTAAATTGTGCGAAATAAATCTCAAAATATTGGGGTTCCTTTGTACGAGGGCGGTTCGGTAGACTATCAAAGAAAGAGAATAGTTTTTCAAAAATATTTTTATTTTTCAATATAATCTCCTGTAACTTTAATACACTTAGTCCAACGCCTTTCTAGCAATTCAATCCCTTGATTAAAATAGTTTTTCTCAAAGTCTTCAAAATAGTGGTTTACAACTGTAATTGCATCTTCATTTGAGGTAAAACGCTTGCCAGGAAGGATGTTTTTTTAGATTTGGGAACAAGTAAAAGTCATTGGAAGCTAAATCGTGAGAATAAGATGGGTGGTCAAGCACTTGTACTTTTATTCGTCGTTTAATTTTAGCCATTATTAAAACACTCTTGTACCCTGGTGCGTTGTCTCGATGAAAAATTATTTTTTGTGTTGTAAGCCAGGACGTATTTTTCGAATTTGTACATTTATCCAAATTGAACCAAAATGTTGCAAAAGTACTCTGAATTTATTGTTTTAAGATTTTGCAGATAGTCAATCAATAAAATACTTTTGAAGTCCCAAAGCACTACTTCCAGCTTCAGTCCATTGTTTGAATTGTTCTTTTGTCTCTGGAGTTTAGTGGTGAATCCATGTCTCATCAACAGTTATGAAACGACGCTTAGAATTCATTTTATTTCGCTCAAAACGATCCAAACAAGCTTGAGAAATGTTCATTTTTATTCGTTCGAAAGCTTTTTCATCTGTAGTTCTTCATGCCAAAGTATAGGAACTCGATCATTTGAGATTTGAGAGAGCCCATGGTATTAGCAATTTCACGCACACTTATTCGTCGATCATTTAATACTATATCATGCTGCTGCTATTTTTGGACGTCCACTACGTGGTTCATTTTCAATGCTTATACGACCACGTTTAAATTCAGCAACCCATTTTTTTTACTGTTGCATATGAAGGAGCACTTTCACCTAACACATTCACCATGTCATTATGAATTTCTTGTCCCGATAAACTTTTTTATGTAAATATTTAATTACAGCACACATTTCTATTTTTCCATTGTAAACAAATTGCCGATACGTCTTTTTTGAACACTTGTTTCTAAATGAAGGAGTTGCCAGATCGGAACAAAATTTAACATGTGTTCATAACAGAAAAGTGGAAGTATCTAAAACACTTAACTTTTTTCTGTTTATACCGCATTTTTGTCCTAGGCTAAGAAGTTTCCGAACTGCCCTGGTATATGGCCAAGGCTTTAAAAGTTTTTATAAGAAAAACTGCAGCAAATTCGAAAAAGGTATATATTTACAATTGACTTTTTCTTCGAAAACCCACAATGACATTTGATCTAAAATATATATTTATTTATTTATTTATTTATTTATTTATTTTTTTTTTTTTTTTTTTTTTTTTGAGACTTTTCCCAAAAATTGACCTAAAGTGGAAACATATTAAATTAGCATTAAACAAGTAAGAAAAGACTATAGACTATAACACTACAATATGTTAAAAGCCCCCTTATGCCCAAATCCATTTTGGAAGATTTCGCTTTTGAAATTATATCACGGAGCACTTCCTAGATATTACCCTTAGCATTTTGGTCAGGGATATTTGCCCAATATTTACGCACTCCGTCGTGCTGTTAATTGTTGTGGTTGGTTACAGCTAAATATAATCCAACGGTCATCCATAATGCTTCACTGTCCTTAACTCTCTTCTCAGGCGAAATTCCCTGTCGATCGGTTTCAATTGTGTGATCAGGGAAACTTTTGTGTTTTTGGTCCATTTGAATATTTTGCGATCGTCTCCAAATGCAAGATACGATATTTGGCTATATTCGTCAACGAAATCAGCATAAAAAAGCCAGATGTTCGACTTTTGTGTGTTTTGGTTTTCACCTGTAAGTTATTTTCAGCGTTTCGGCAGAATGGAAATGTTGGTATTTTTTCACACAAAAGTAGTGGTCCATTCTACTGGCTGTTCTAAACTCTAACTTCATGAAAATGTTCATGAGGATCGGACAATAATTGCAATCTGCATATAATAACCCCAACATGTATTGTAGGGTGAAAAAATATTATAAAACGTACACTTCAATATTATGAGTCAAATTAAAAAAATCGCATGCGATAGAAATTATGAAAAAATAAAAGAATTTCACAAAATACTACAAAATCTATATTAATATCATTATTAGATTTTTCTTAGAGTTTGTTGGCAAGGGGGCATTCTGAATTGACAAAATTTGTCAAAATCGGTCCAGCCATTCTTGAGATACAAGCATTGTAGTTACTATCGGCATCTACGTAACGGTCAGAACTGACATTTTCGTCTATTTGTGATTTCGCCAGGATTAAAAATATTCGCGGTTTAATGGAAAATTTGACTTTTATTTAACACAAATGTTTTGGTCTATTTCACCCATTAAATATTACCCGATGACCATCAAAATTGGAAGTCATCTGCCCAGCCCAAAACTCTAGCCCCATGTTAACTTCCGCTTCGATTGGTCGTTATTGCAACCTGTAGAGCAACTGCAAAATCAGGAAATTTTTTTGGTCCATTTCAAACCCTAAATATTATGCGATCATATCCAAAAGAAATAGGGTTCTATTCTGACCCTAGCTCCACCTCCATGCAACATTTTGTGAGTATCGGGCTATAATAGCGATCTGTAGCGTGATTACAAATTAACATGGACAGACGGACGGATGGACGGATGGACATACATAGCAAGGTCGACTCAGCTCGTCGAACTAGGAAGAACCATATATACATAATTTTTGGGCCAATCAAACTCTTACTACCCTCAACACAAAGGGTTGTAAGGTATAAATCTACCCAATTATATCCCCAATGAAAATTCGAGCCCATTAGAAAATCCAACAGAAACCACCAACTACGAAGTTTTGGCAGGCATCGTTATTTGGGACAAACACGATCAACCTGGGCAATTTTCTACAAGCCGAAAAGTATAATATTCAACAAGAGGGGTTAATTTCGATTACGAACTATAAATACCAAATTTCAAAGAATTCCATTTGAAAATTATACTAATAACATTACGAATATCGACAAGGCCGAAACAGATAAAGTACAGCTCTGTGCAAAATGTTGGCTATTGATCACAAATCATTTAAACTTTATCGGCTAAATATTTTAACTGTATCGGCTAATATTTTAATTTAATGGCAAAATAAACTTAGAATTTAATGCCGATCAAAAATGTATACGCATTCTGCTTCTACAACTATTATTTTTATGAGATACAAAAGGAATAGAAACCTAAAATGAATTGAAGATTAAAATCAACACCGGACCAACAATTACGAAAATATCTCTAACCATTAAAAATGTGCGTCAGAAAAAATTAAACATTGAGCCACTGTTCAACAGAGACTTACTGCCATATTCTCCAATTGATGCAGAGTATTATTTTTTCGTTCCCGCCATAGCATGATTTTTTCGTATTTTAAAATAGTATCGTTCTACTGTTGTGAATATCAAATTAATCCATGAGTTTTTGTTCTGCATGTAAACGTCACTGACATCACGATATTAAAATTAGCGCAGAGAACAAAAACTTCAATGCAGCCGTCATTTGTGCCGATAACCTTCATATTTTTGGTTAGTGTTGTTGTTTTCTTTTGGTGCTATTTTTGTTTTCTTCTTCTTTTGTTTGTGTGTAAATGGGGAAATGCATTTCGGCATTTATCAATTTTCTTGCTGACTGAACAGAACACTGAAACTCCAACGTTCGCCATGCCCGAGAACGCACTGAAGTGGTGATACCATTAAAAACACTCGTTTTTCCATATTCGGATTTTTTCTGTTTTATATTTTTGTTGTTTTTGTCATTTGTATTAATAAAAAAAACACATATTTAGGTATTTGTTGCTAAGACTCTCACGTAAAATTTTAAAATAATTAAATTCATAACAATAATTTAGAAAAACCAAAAAAAAAAATTTTTATCAATGTTGAACCGAAAATAATTTAAGCCAAATTTTGCGATTTTGCAATTAACAAAAACATGTGCAATGTGCACAACAATTTTGGAAAAAAATTTGGAATTTTTTTGAAACTGGATTTAGAAAAAAAACATTTATGAACTAAACACTTAAAATTTCAGACTATTATTTACAGGAACTTCCCCGGTTGGCGTTTAATAGGCCGACTGGCTGCCACCATAAGATGGGCTACCACCATAAGATTGGCTGCCATAACCGCCATAAGACTTGGCAGCGGGAGAGTACAATTTAGCCAAAGGAGCGTCTTGCACAACGGGCAAAGCAACTTGGCTGTAGCTGGCGTGGGAGTTGTAATGTTTGTAGCCACCTTGGCCGGGGTACAATTCAGTGGAGTGCAGGGGTTGGAAGGAGTATTTTGGGGCATAGGATTTGGGGGCAGCATAGCTGTTGTAGCTAGAGCCACCTCCATAGCTGGCAGCGGGGGCAGAATATCCAGAGTAGCCAGCGGCATCACCGCCATACGAGGAGGCAGCACCACCATAGGATGGGGCAGCACCTCCGTAGGAGTTCAAGGCAAGATTGGCCAAATTGCCATAACCACTGCAGCTAGCCGAGGCAATGGCAGCCAAGATAACGGAAGCAAAGCACTGCAAGAGAAAGGAAGAGAAAATCAAATATTAAAAATCATTTAACATTATTTCCTGTCATCGATTCGGGGAAGTGAGTGGGAACATGAAGGAAACCATGTTCACATGTTATTGGCAAACATTTCCTTCCGGAAAATCTAGCAATTCAGTTATGGCCACAATTTTTTTTTTTTTTTTTTTTTTTGATTTTTTCTTCTTCACCCACATCTCTTCTTGGTTTATTGTTTTATTCTTCATTTTGCTTTGTTTACTTACAATGTATTTGTTCATGATGAATTCTGAATTTTCTGTTCTGTTTGACCAGCTATGGTTCTGCCACAAATAAATGCAAAAGTTTACCGCTCTGTTCTTTTTATATTCTTTGGCATTTGCCACCGAAATTCAAACGTGATCTTCGCTTTGTGGCCCATTGCACTCTTCTCCGGCTGGAAATCTTATTGCTGATGCTGGCTGTTCATTAACCTCTTGTGGACCATATCTTTGAGCCGGGGTGTTTGGCAGACATGTTTCTCTGTGTTCGATAAGCGTACTTGGTGTGGTTAAGACCCCACAGACATTTTTGCAACTTGCATTTGATAGTATTGCTGTAGGCAGTTTGTTAGAAGTCAACCCGAAGTGGTATCCAATGCTTCGACGGCTTTCATGAAAACCAGGCCGGACGTAGTTAACTCCAAAGAGTATAAATATGAATATTGTAAATGGAGCCAAAAGAGAATAATATAATATCTTCGGTATTTGGAAGACCTGTCAAGGGCTTTCATCAACAGGAGGCCGGCAAAAGATACTCTACTTTTAGAATCCCCATAAACAGCCATAACTATAAAAGTATGAAAATTGTCTTCTATTTATGGAAGAGCTATAAGAGATGGGCCATTTTCTAGCAAACCTCCGAAAGGATTTCTACTTATAGAATATAAGTTAAATATATAGAATACTCTATTCCCTTAGAGACATCTAATAAAAATTTACCCCCACCTCCAAACTTTTTCCTATTTAAAGGTCCGTAAAAGGTTTTCTATCTACAGACGCCCTGTAAAATGTTTTCTATCTCTGGAAGACCTTACAAAGGAATGGGCCAATATTGTTCATTTCGTATTGGACCTATGATATCAATATTGCGACGTGTCAGGTTCGGAGTATATTGGTTATTTCCTTCACTTTATATAAGATATGTGAAAATTTTTTAGAAAATGTTAATCTGTCCTTGAGACGACAGACATAGTCGACCGAAGTTTTCCGTTTTCATACCTATCTGTAAAATATTGGTATGGGAAAAATTCCAAGAAAATTGAAAATTTATATTCAGTTTTATGCAAAATCATAAATTTCGTATTCATCTCAGGTTTCTGGTTGGGAGAAATATGTATATATAGCAAGGTGTAAAGAATAGCTGACTTGTTTCGCAAGTTTGACAGATAAATTTATGAAAATTGGGTCAGATCTTGTGTTTTGATGATTTTTGACACATTTTTCCACGGATTTGTCTAAAAGCTGGAATTTGTAGGTCATAATGGGCTCTAGCTTTGGCCTATTGTTTTTTGATAAGTTTAACTGCATGATCCGAAAGGTCTTATTGGTATGTGTAGTTTAAAGTGGAGCACGCTTCAATTCAGATGTTTCCTTTACCCAATGGTGGAGGGTATTAAAAGTTTGGCCCAGCCGGACTCAATGTTTTTTTTACTTGTTTAACATTCAATTATAATCGACATAAAATGCAGGCTAAATATATTTTTGCCAACATTTTTAAGAGATCGGTTTAGTTTTTATTTATTTCGCCTATATACATTTTAATCAACGTTTGTTCAAATAGGTTGAATTTTTTAACGAATGATGAAGTTCGGACTAGAATAAAGTCTATCATGTTTGGTCAAAATCGGTTTAGATATAGCCATATCTCCGATATAATCGATTCCGCCAAATTTTGAATAATTACAACTCTCCTAAAATGTGAAATGATTTATTAATCTTCAACTATTTTTAAAAAGTTTCGTAATTTATTCAGTTTACAATAGATTTAGTGATCTAGTTTTTCCAATACTACGAAAAAATTAGCCACCATTTTCTGGAAATGAAACATAATATTTTATTAATTATGCACCCACAATGTGCCGATATACTTCGTTAGAAACATTCAGTAAAATATTAATACCTTCTATACACTACAAATACTTTGCTGTAAATTTGTGTTATTCTGTTTGAAAATGTAAATTAATGGCCTGTTTATCTAAGACAATGGAAAGGCTACATTCGCTCCCTATTAAAAATAAATCCAGTTTCCATTGAAAATTGGGTCAGATCTTGTGTTAGTAAAAATGTTTATCTGTATGAAATTGGAAGAGAGTTGGATGTTTATTTCGCTTTCTTTGAGCGTTTTGTTTTTCAATATCTTGAAACCTATGTGGGGAAGGTTAGAGAAGTCCGATTTCTACCATCTGTATAACTGATATTGTGCTGATGAAAATATTGCGACATATTAAATCTGAATAGAATCAGATCTTAATTTCGCGTTTTAAAAGCTTTATGGTTATTCAAAAAGTTGACCCTTTGTGGGAAGGCACCAGAAGGTGGACCGTTATATACCATCTTCACATCGAATCTAGTCTTAGTAAAAATTATGGGATGTATGAAATATGAAGAGAACCGGATGCTTATATCGGATTTTATAATCGTTTTGGTTATTCAAAACGTTGACCCGTTGTGGAGAAATTGCCCGATCACTACCATCTTTATAACAGATCTTGTGTTGTTGGAAATATTGAGATGTACCAAGTCTGAATGGAATCGGATGTTATTTTCGCTCTTTATGAGTTTAATGGAAATTCAAAATTTTGGGTGAGGTACCAGAAGGAGTGGATGGATATATTCCACCTTCACACCAGACATTGGGTTAAGAAAAATGTTGTGATGTATGTAATTTGAAGACAATCGAACTCTTACATCACATTTTATAAGAGTTTTAATTACTCAAAATGTTGACCCTTTGTGGGGGAGGAGTGGACCGATATTGTGCATTTTCACACCCAATTCAAATATAAGGAATCGCATAGTTGGAGCTAAATTAAATATATATATATATATATATATATATATATATATATATATATATATATTTTGTTTTATTATATATTTTTTTTTTAATTTCGACCTTTTGTGGGGGAGTTACTAGAAAAAGTTAACCGATATTTCCTACCTCAGCACTCGATCTAAGTTTGATAATAATATTACGATGTACCAAGTTTGGACTAAATCGGATACTCCCTTCGTGAGTTATTGTGCGCACCAACCAGACAGACGGAGAGACATCGCTAGATCGAACCCAAATATCCGGAAACGGCTTTGGTTCAAAGAGACCTAGGGTCTAAAGTCGTTATTTCGATGAGGCACGTTTTGGCCGTATCAAATAATATATACCCTCTCTAGCCATATATCTGAGGGTATAAAAATAACAACTATTACTCTGATGCGCTGCGAATAGTTCAACTTCGCATAAATTTGACCCAGTTCAAAATCTGTAACGATTTCAAAACACATTAAATCTCGCAGACTGCAATAAACTGGCGTCAAATTTAACCCTTGGTTTGCTTTATAAATCTCAAGGGATCTTAGTTAAATTCAATCCATAGATTTTTTTTTGGTATATAACAGACCGCCTATGCCATATACTTTCCTTCAGTTCACAGATTTATGGCCAGTTTTTTAAAGAAATCGAAAATGAAAAAAAGAAGGCAGACTCTCGAAGTCGAGGCTTTTCGTAAACCAGAAAGCATAAAGTGGGTGAGGCCGTTTTATGGGGACCATACCTATATAGGCATAGGCTGGGAACCTAGATCATAGACCATCTACCCAATTTTCTTAAATACCGCATTTGAAACAATTTTTTGGGTAAATGTGACTAGTATTTTCAAAATACCGAATATCGGTGGGTATCGTTATATTTGCGCTATAGGAAAACGTGGACCTAAATATTTAGTGTTCTCCCGCCGGAGCTGGAACCCATTATGAACTACGAATACCAATTTTTTAGACAAATCCGTGAGGAAATGTGGCAAAAATCATCAAAACATCGAATATCGGGAGGTACCGTTATATGGGGGCTATACCAAAACGTAGACCTACATATACTATGTTCCGCCACCGGAGCTAGAACCCATTATGTCCTACAAATACCAGTTTTTAGACAAATCCTTGGGGAAATGTGGCAAAAATCATCATAACATCGAATATCGAGAGGTACCGCTAAATGTCAGCTATATCAACACGTGAACCGATATATCTCAGTTTCAATACCAATCATCCTAGACAGAATACAAATTGTTCTGCCAAATTTGATTCTTGAGAGAAAATTGTGTTGAAATAGCATAAACGTATCCCAAAGTTTTAATTTTAAAAACAGATTCTGATTGTTCCTCAGCTGTTTGCGATAATATGGAATTAAGTAAAAAAAAAATACTGAATCCCATTTGAGTTAAGAATGTTTACGTTTTCTTTCGAGTTGTCAATTCTTGTCACCATTCGAGTAGAATGCAGAAATTGACTGTTACTGGAAACTGGATTTATTTTAAATAGGAAGCGAATGTAGCCTTTCTATTTCCATAGAGAAACAGGCCATTCATTTACATTTTAAGACAGAATAACACAAAAGTTGCTGCAAATAATTTGGATTGTAGCAATGAATGGTAGAACTATAAGTAGATTGGTAAATTGTGGGTTTTATATTACTAAAATATTTTGCTTCATTTCCAAAAAATGTTGGCTAATTTTTTTGGTAGTACTGGAAGTGTTAAACAGAATAAATTGGGAAAAGTTTAAAAAATAGTTAAAGTTTAATAAATCTTTTCAAATTTTAGGATAGTTGTAATTATTCAAAATTTGGCGGAGGTTGCAGAAGAATTGCGCCGGTTTTACTTTTTTTTGAACACGATCAAGTTTGATAAGAAATACAGTAAATAGATGATCTGGGGGATATGGCTTATTTACATGGGGATATGGCTTATTTACATTAAGGCACATAAAAATATGTATGGGCAAAAAAAATATAAAAACTAAAACAATCTCTTAATAAAAATGTTGGCAATAATATTTCTAGCCTGTATGTAATATCGATTGCAATTGAATATTAAAAAATATTTTTGCGATTGCCGGCAAAATGAAAACAATGACACTTTGTTGAAAACGATACATATTACAATGACGCTCTGTGTTAACTTAGTAGCCGAAGATAAACACGTTTTAGCAAATTTTGAGTGGGTGATTTCACACATTGAATTATTCTGGTTATGAAATCTTCGTAGTACAACTGACAGACGAAGTTACAAAAACCACTACAGTTACTGCACTGCGCTAGTATCGAT